CCTTACACGTGATCGTCGTACAGAATCGCGCACATTTAACTTCACCGTCGTGTCGATCTCTCCCTCATTTTTTTTTTTTTTTTTTTTACGGGCGTACGAAACAGCTGCTATATATTTTTTTTTAATTGCTTCGTTCATATCGCACGACGGCGCGCGATACGTTCACAATATTTATCGAAACAAATATTCATTGGAAATTGCCGCTACTTCCACTTGTTGTTCGATTCATTTTTAATTGTTACTCGCGTAACTTTCGTACCGTTGATGTTTGCTGATTGTGTAACGGTCTCTCTTTCGTTTCGCACCGACGCCAACCACCGCCCGCATTTGATCGAATTTTCTTTGTGCCGCGAACGCCGGTCGGAAATTTTTTTAATCTCCCGAACGAATCTGTTCTGCTCCACGAGGAAGGAAGCTAATTCAGACTCGGGCACGCCGTTCCGCAGGGACTGCTTGAGACGTTGCACATTATAAAATAATCAGCCTCCGCAAGAAACTTCCCCTTTAACCTCGAGCACTGGTCGTTCACGCTACTTAAGTGTAGAAAATTCACAGCAGCTTGAGCTCCGCGTGTGAAATGAAATTAATATTTATACGTTGTAAAGTGCGACGAATAAGATCGCTTTCGCAGGACTCGAAGAGCAGTGGTCTTCTTTGGAAATTACACATTTGAAGAAACGTACACTCGGAGAAAGAATTAGCCACAGGAGCTAATATCTAGCTGTGGCAGCTAAGATGTATCCTTGAAATGGTGACAGCTGACGTTGCTACCGCAGATAAATTTGTTAGCTGTTTGAATTTGAGCGCTATAGCGAGAAATATTAACTAGATCGCACGGTAGTATTAAAATCATATTCACATTCTCGAATAAAAATTTATTGGTATCTGTTTTTTAACGGAAACTATTCTTAAGGTATTAGTGTACGCCAACTTTGCCGACTTTGCCGGACTAACTTAATTACCAACGAGAAACGGCGTTTTTATTTTCAACATTCCGGAGTTGGAAATTCTTTCGAGAGGATCTCACGGGTCCTACTTATGTCACGTGTTAGTAATATTGCACTATTCGTCACGGCCGCGAGCGCAAAAATATCGCTCGTTACGCGCGGGATACGAACAACTCAGCCCATTTTCGCGATGAGATGGGAAAGATGGGCTCTTTGAAGAAAAAGTGATAGCGTAAACAACGCGATGAATGTCCCGAGTGAAAAAGGGATTATCGCGGGCATGCTGCTACCCTCGCGCGCGCGCGCGCGCGCGTGAAATGAGGAGGGGTGAGGCGACGCGAAAAGGTGAAAACGAAGGACGCGAGCGAAACAAGAAGCTACAAAATTGTTTGCCGAGAAACCGGAGGGCAGCAGACAGCCGCGAACAAGATAGAGTAAAGAAAGAAAGGGAGAGGGAGAGTGAGAGAAAGAGGAAGAGACGCCTACCAGGCGAGGATCTAATTTACTCGGTACAGGTGGATGTAAATTTCCGTCGTCGTTCCTGCTCTTGGAAACCCGATGCCTCTGAAACAGCGCGTCGCAGGAAGTTCTCGAAATTCAACGGTGTAATCGCGGCGAGACCAATTTGTCGAAATTTCACAATGCACGCGGAAAATATTCGCCCGCAAATAGAAAACGAGACGAACGCGTTACGGCCTCGTCCGTGCGGACTCGCATTCGTCACGCAGCTGCGCTTTGCCGATAATTATGCTGCGCGGAAATGAGTTCGCAGTCTCTCCTTTGAGGTGCTCTTGTATTTTCTTCAGGTGTCTTCTCAAATCGCCTTGCGTTATATTGTCTTTGACAGTGAAGATTTTGTATTACGCGTAACGTAATTTGCTTTTATCTAGATAATCTTATTCCAGATCATTTTCTAATCTACACTAAGAGAAAAAAATAGTTGGAGTAACTATAATCTCATTATATTTTATAGTCAATTTTGGCTTCAACTATACGTTGCTAATTTATTAGTTACAAATACAACTAAATGTAACATTCGTACAGTCACGTAAGTTTTTATAAAAATTGTTGTTTCTCTCATTATTTCATTTAATATCATTACTATGTATATAGTAAGACACGTGTTAAGAATGCTGTTACATAAAGCATTATTTGTTTTTGATTACAACTGTGTTGATTATATAACATAGTTTCTGTTATCATTTTATATTTGCTACTTTACTGTAATTATATTTAAAATCATTATCATTTATAGTGTAGACAAATTTGTTTGTGTTGATCATACTATGCATATATCGTAATTACAATCTCTATTATAGCAACATTTACTACATTTGTTGTTTTCTGACTATAATTTCTCAACTATATTATTACACTTTCAAATATCATATATTTTTCCTCTTAATGTATCATTTAAGATTTAATTGAAAGATGTTTAAAATTCAACTATACGATTTCTCATTTTTAATAATAATACCTTGTTAGTTGCAAAGTGAGGAAATAGAAAAGTGTTAGGGAGAGGCATATTCCAGCATTAGTTGATTCTTGGATGAATTCTTGGATAATGCTTTAATTTGCACTATATCAATAAAAGATACGTACCCAATCCTTAAGAAATACGTAAAATAAACGATTTGCTTTTAATCTTCTCGCTGTAGCGCTCAAATTTAAGCCCAAAATTAAAACCTTAGACTTTTTTACCTTGGACAACGTTTCTTCGCGTTTCATTGTTGTTTACGATTGAAAAGAGCAAGGCGAGGCCACCCCGATCTTCTGCACATTTTATTGCAAACTTTACTTCGAGTAACGGCAACTCGAGGAAGCGGTTAGATGTGGATTCCTTATTCGGGAAATGACCGGCAAATGGAGCGAATGAATTTTGACCTTACTCGTGCACGGTTACTCTCGATAAAAACCCGCGCAGCCCTTTATCTCTAACCAAGTCTAGAAATCGGTAACGTCGGAATGCATAAAACCCGATGTTTATGAGACACGGGAAATCGTGAGGAAGTAATCGGCGTAAGAACCATACTTTATACTGAGTGCATTCGAGAGGAGTAAAATCGCAGAAGCGGTTAAAACAATTAGCAGCGAATAATTTGTTCCACGGGTTTTCTTTTAAATCACTTTTGTGAAAATCTGTGTTCTTGTCTTATGCGTGTGCATTAATGAAAAAAGTTATTTTATTAAAAAAATTATGCTATTCTTATTACACCAAGTATAATGTTAGCAACGATATTTATTTTCTATATACATTCTTGTTATTATATCAATACTTTTACCGATAACATTTTTTTAATATATTGACATTTTTTCCCTCCTCGCTAAGAAATATAAGAGTTACTTACGTACTTAAGTTTACTTACGTACTTAAGCGCAAGTAAACTACATTAAGTTTACAACTTCGTACCGAATCGATGTCGTTCAGCCGATTTTTCAAGAATGCTATCTCTCAAGAATTAGAACCGAAGCGCAAGGTAAAAGCACTCCGGGTAGGAATTTAGCTTATTACCTCCTAAAATCGCACGATGGGAAGAAAAGCTCGCGTAAGACGTTGACTTAAAAATTTGCGAGCAGGTCTCGTGATGCTAGACACGACGAAAGCTTCTCTCAAGAAGATATGACGGGTTTTAGTAAGGACGCGTGTGGTAGAGTTGCGTGTGGTTACCGTGTTTTAGCCCGAAGAGAGGAAGCCACATTGTATCGATCCGATAAAAGAGCGTTTCAAAGTTTTATATTGAGATGCTCCTGTCTGAATGCCGTGCACGAAGTATAATATCGTATGTGGCCTGTCAAGCTGCTGTTCTTCGACATTCAAAGAGTAAAATGCGCCCAACGAAGAGAACACACGTCTTGAAATAACATCCCCATCCCGTATTACTCAATTATCACGCAACCATTTTAACTCGCTCTCAACACGTACATTTAACGCTAAGAGCTTCCTGTCCGAATCTCGTATCACGTTTGCACTGGATGTATTATTCATATTAGACAAATAAAGCTCGGAATCAGAAGATACCATGAATATAAACTGTTGGTCGTAAAAGCTGTTTTCCTGAAGACAGGATATGTAATGTTGACGAGAGGAATTATTTCTTGTTGAATTTCCGTCGAGAAAGAGCAAAGCATCTATAATAATAAGTTCAACGAAGAAAATCCGCTACTTAAAAGGACGTAGATTTGTTAGGATATCAGGCAATATCAAATATCTCGAAATCACATCTAATATATCAAATTTTAAGTTTATTGAAGTTACGACACCTTGACACCGTGCAGATATGCTTGAACTGCCGCGATTTTATTTCAATAAATTTTTCGATCAACAACCTTTACACCTGCAGAATTATAATTATCAGAGTATATTCGTCTAGATAATATAAAAAATCCATTATTATGTTTGTATCGGCGTTCGCTCGACAGCCTGTGTAGCGTCGACTAAAGTATTTAATAAAGGAGCAAACGGCCTGTGGAAGAAATGCGAACGAAACAAAGGGAACATGAACCCTCTCGTTAAATCAAAGCGATCGTTTCGGTGCAAATCAAGCTACTGCCTGCATTTCCATGCAAGCGGCAGGCACCGTTAAACTTGGTTAGCTCCCGGAAAGCTGGAAAAGAGAATTAAAAGGACACGGAAATTGTTCGTGTTCGCATTTTCACGGATGGAATCCAAACGCTCAATTTAGTCGGGCGCCTTTCCTTGTGCCACTCATATATATCGTTAGTCCGTTCGATCGCGTTGAAACGAGAATCGACTGTTCTCGGAGGGAACGTGCGTCTCGTAACTCCTCTCACTCTTTTCCCGGCATAATTGAACGCCGCCAATTGATTAGATCGAACTGTACATCGCGCCTTTCGTGCAATTAAGTACGAAAAAATGTCAGATCATGTCCGAATAAAATTCTTTTATCCGATCTGTCGATAGCGATATCCATTTTCCCACTGAGGACACATCCGACTTTTCACCGCCTCGACCTCGTGTAATTTTACAAATGTTTCTGCGCCAAGTTCGTACCGGCGGGACGTCACTTATATTCGCGACCACTACTGTTTCAGTTACTGGAGCGTCCGCGGAGGTCACGGGGGAGACCGAGGATCCGCGGTGGAGCACGTACAGCGCCCGGAAGACGAGTCGATCCTCATCGGCGCGATCCTGGCCGTCCTCGAGTCTGGAGCACGCCGCGAGGGAGACCAGATTCTCAAGCGGCAAGCACCCGGAAACCACCCCTTGGGGCGTAGATAGGTCAAGTCCTGGGGCTCGATCTGACCTGAGTTTCCTGGAAACGGTGACCGAGCGGTCCGAGGAGGACGAGGACGGGAGGAGGGTGCAGTCGTCGGGGAGAAATGACACCGGGGACGCGAAGATCGTACGGGCCAGCCAGTCCATCTCCTCCAGGAGCGACGAAACGAACCAGACGGATCCGTCCAATCGGATTTCCGTCGAGTCGTCGTCCCCGCACCCGTCGACGATTGACCATCGCTCCGCTCCCGGAAGGACGCTGTCTTCTGGAAGCTCTCACGACGTAATTCGTACCGAATCTCGTAGCTGATAGGAAACGTTTGGAAATTTTCGTCGCGATTAAGTCTCCGCGAATGTCCCGAATCGTCGTCGGGCGATGCCAGAAGAGAGAAGTCCCGGGATTGGTGATTAATCTTTCCACCTGTGCCTGCCTCGCGACTGACAATTAGATCACTTCTTCTTAAAGTAGTTCTTCGAGCAGAATCTGCAAGCGCAGCCAATAATCGTGGCCATCGATTATTCAAATCGCTTCGCCGATAATTAAGTGAGATTAAGAGGGCGTAAAAGTATTTGCACGAACTTATCCAACTTCGGTGGGCATTTCCGCGAGAGACGAATCCACCTGAACTCGGATACGTACGTATAAATCGCGCATTGCGCGCAGTAAGGCATCGATGCGCAAAGTTAAATAACGTCACGGATCGTCCAGCCCTACCTTTCTCTCTTCACGCGATATCGCCGATCGTAACGACATAATAGTCGCAATTATTCAGCGCCGTTTCTCCAATATCGTAATACGGGCGATAACTATAATTCAACGCTGCCGCGATACCAGTTGCCCAAAGCGGATACCGGTTGCCATTTAATTAACGGCCTGATATCCCGGTATTAAAGGCTTACGGTTCATTGATCGTCATAGATTTTCAATCGAAATTAACGCGCGGAACACGCGCGCGTTGACGAGAGGGACGCGCGCGCGAGGGGGCGTAAAAATGATCCGTGAGTGCCCGAAGGCATTTTCCCTTCATTTCCTTTTATCCACGCACGATTTCCCGGCTCGTGTCGAGACGCCGCGGCGTGAATTATAGAAGGGCCCCGAACCGTTTGACACGTGACGACGCTCGCATACAAATTCAAATGTGACTTTACAATGTGTGCAGATAGTACCGACGCCCGAGACACGACCATCAACCGGGACGTTCGCGCGCGAGGGCCTGAAAAACACGACGGCGCCGTCCATGAAAGCCGTCACGATGCCACGACGTCACATGAGGCACGCTCTAGACACCTGCGAGAAGTTCCAGATCGGGGATGACGCGAAAGGGGAATTTTATAGTCCAAATTATCCCGACCCGTACCCAAACCACATTGACTGTGTTCGAGTCTTGGAGGGTAAGTCGATTTCTGATACGATCCCGAGTCGAAATTTTGAGCCCCGTGTTAAACTTGAAATTCTACAACACGGCAGAAGCTAAGATAATAAAAGGAGCTAAGATCAAATATTCGATATGTATTTTTTTTATCTGCCACCAAGTATATTTATGGAATGAAATCAGCCCTCGAGAATCGATCAAATTTTTGCTCTTGGCTATAATTTTTGGACGGAACATGATAGCATAATTTCGTAAATATACAAAATATACAGAATTTCTAAATCTATTCACTAGTACACAAATTAATTTGTTTATAAAAATATAGCCGGAAAATAAAAATTTGGCCGATTCTCGAGAACCGATTTCACTTCTTAAACATGTTCGGTGGCTGATGAAGAATTACGTATCGAATATTGTTGCCTCCTCTATAAACCTCCAAAGTTTTGTTAAAATCAAAGAGGGACACCTAGGAGCCTTTCCTTGTAAGTTAAAATTCACGAAAATAATTATTCAGAATCGCATTGATAAGTAATCGTGTGATTGCCGAGGGAGAAGGGAATAATTCATCGCCGCCGAGCACTCATGCGTCCGATAGCCTTCATGAGTTTCGTGAACATCGTGGAGGTTGTATAATGTACGTTCGGATTAATCGCCGGGGATAAATTATTTATCTCGCGCCATGGTTTAAGTTAACCCCCGACTCTCTCGCAGACGCTGACCAGAATACCGAGGGGGCAATCACTTTCGCGGCGGTCGTGTGATCAATAATCGATTCCCCACACGTAGGTATATCGTATCTCTTTGAGAAACCGATTTTCGAACGAGCCACGAGGCAAGTTCTACAAAATTGCCGGCGGCAAGAACACGTTGCGAGCCAGATTTCACTTTACTGCCGCGCACCGTTCGCCGATAATGCGGGGAAAAAAAGGCGAGCGTGTTGGAGGGGCGAACTCTTTCCGAACGAGGAGAACCTTTGATCCGCGAATCTCTCTCGTATCTCGGGAGCAAATGTTTTGAACAAACATCGTTTCCTCTCGAGCGAGAAGGTTAAGTAGAGAGCATTAGACGCGACTTAAATCTCGAACGTGGAACGTTTAATAGTGCGGTCGGACGAACGATATCGATGGGCCGCACCTGAGCTTCGTCGAATAACGCCTCGTTGTTTCATGGGTCTCTTATTTTCTGACGGCACAGTTATACAATGCCGTTCCGTTCATCGCATGTCGACCGAGCTGCGAATATTTATGTAAAAGGAATATATTTTCATTGGATAGATAGATAAGATATCAAATAGATAGATAACTGAAATTACAAATGTAAAATATATTTTACATACATACACAGAGTGTCCCGCTATAAGTTTCCACTTTCCTTTATCTTCCAAACTAAAAGAGAGATAGATAATAATAAATATGTATTAAATTATAAATAGTTTTAACTAAACTTTATTGTGAATACAGTAGTTGTCTATAAAATTTCCTCTCTCTCTCTCTCTTTCTCTCTCTTTTAATTTAGAAGATAAAAGAGGGTGGCCGCTTATGGTGGGACATCCTGTATATATAAGAAAAATGGTGGATTTCGAGTGATTAATAAATAAATTATCTCCGTATTTATTACTCACTCACTTTGCATAAACATTTGCGATCTAATTACCAATACGATACAATTACCAACGCGATAAACTGCATTTGCATTTAATGTTTAATAAATCGCATTCTCTATACCGGCATAATAAAACATATTCCGCCGTTAATTTCTGTTCTCTGTTAAAGTATATATTTGCATAAACATCCGCAGTTAATAGTGGACCATTTTGCTAATTTACAAACATATTTCCACTGAGCTGGTGACAAACGACGTTAGTGCGATCAAATTTCACTTGTCGAAAGCGTTTATTATGTGCAATTGTTGCAAATAATTGTTACGTAAAGTCGGAACGAATAACAACGCGAAAGCACATGCGCAATGCATGAGCTTTCTTTGAGGTATCACGAATTGAAATGAAAATAATTTTGTCAGACTACAAACGCTACATTACGTAAATGTCGCAGATTGGATTTAAACGTGCAGTACGACAAACTCCTCAACTGTAAATCCAATTGTGCTGACAGCGGCGGCTTTAGAGACGTCATACTCGAGCCATTGCTTCCTTTCCCCCCCTCCCCCCTTTTTTTACGAGGTAATAAAAAAAGCTCTTTGTGGGATATAAAACAGAGATCGAATTAGTCGCTCTTTCCGGCTATCTGTACATTAACAATTAACGCGATTAAAAGTAAGTACGATGGAGCACAACGTTACTCTGAGAGTAATGGAGATTGGAAACGATTGAGATGTATTGGTAATCAAGAAGAGATCGCAGGAAACGCGAGCGGCATTGTACGTGACGCGGACAAGCAGGACTTCAATTTGTGCACCGTCATCGACTGGCCGCGGCCAGTGCTGTGTACAGTGAAAATTCCATCAAGCGACTTATCGAGAAATATCGATTTACCGACGTATGTCCGACTCGATCCTCCCGTCCTTCGAGACACGACATTTCTGCACACACGAGCCACAATAATTTCTTCGCTCACATATCGAGCAATGATGAGAGCGCGCATATAAACATCACGAAGTATTGAGATATTGCGGAGGAAAAGCAGCAAAATCGACATATAATCTTGTTTTTAGACTCTAAAACCTTGTCGAAGATGTAAAATTAAAATTTATGTGCGTGGATGCAAACCAACAACACTTCTCTCCTAAAATATGCAACGATCTTGAGAAAATTATTAGATCTCTTGCAAGTAACTACTTTGAGATGTTTATGAATTGACGCTTCTAAAAACTAAGTCCCAAAACCGACATATCCATGATATCTGGTAGGAAATAATCAAAACAATAAAATGAAAGCACTGAAATTATATTATTTTATATATTTGTTATATATTCTTACATGCCTGACAGTAAGCAAGAACTCATTAACGTAACTCTAACTTTTCTTGCGCGGTTCAAGGGAATAGAAATTGGCACAAAGTTTAAAGTGAAAAGTTTAAAACTACGTATCACACTATAAAATAGTATTATCAAATAAATTATTCATCACTGATTCGTTACCTTAATTTTCGCAAGGAGAAAGCTCCGTGAAACTTCGGCGCAACGAAAAATCGAACGACGTTAACAGCACAATCGAACGCTCTTACAAACAGAAACTGCCACTTCAGCTGCGATTGCACAGTGGACGAAGTTCATGTACACGCGTGTATTGTCCGACGTCCAGGGTAATAATACTTTACTACCGACAAACATGGGTATGTCGGTTTACCATACCAATGTCAGTTTTGATGCTTTTCCTCCGCGAAATCAACTTCTCGCTCCTCGAAGTCGGCTGCATGCGTTTCCGGTGCATCTTACAAAAATATCTACATCGTCATCGAACAATGGCAGAGCATGACTACGCGGATGATCGTCTTCATTTCATATTTATATTATACCGCGCGGAAACTTTCGCGAAGCCGCAGTATGTTCCGGCCTGTTTCATATGTATAAGTCCGATGCAACTTGGTAGCTCGAACATGACTGAACTTTCCGGCGGCGGGGGGTAGAAGCGCCCTCGAGTGATTGATACACCCCGGTGGTTCGGTTCGTTGGCCAAGGGTACCACGAAAGGATAGTAAATCCTGCCAGGCCGGCCCGCCGTACGGAGCCGAGGCTGCAAAGCGGAAGAAACACGTAAAAGGACTCCTTTATCCCCGGGTGATCACGGTTTCCACTTTAATACTCGCAATAGTCGTGTTTGTGTAGACGTGAGCCGACGAAAACTTATTAATGGACTCCACCGTGTTGCCCTTAGAGACATATTCGCGATTAATACCGCTGAAGATTCAGCCGATAACTCGGCGGCATCGCGTGTCCGCGGACGGCAGTGTTCCCGGCATTTTCGATTTTTCTTTAGCCGGCTTGACGAAACGGAACGGGTCGTTCGAACGAATTGGCAGCGCAAAACATCGTACTGGGACAAACCCGGAGTTGGCGTCGCGTACATTCTTCCATTGCGCGTCGTTACTTTCCACGTCGGAAGGGATAATACAACAACGGAACGATTTCTCATTTTATGCCCGTGCACACTCGAACGTGGCGACGCGACGCGACGCGATCGTGGATGGCGTGGAGAGAAAGGGAAAAAAATTGGCGAACGGCGTTCGGCGAAATCATAAATCTTCGCGAGACCGACCGCCCTTCTCGTCGTCCGTGGCTGCACGAAAGCAATATCTCGATAACGAATCGATGTATCTCCGCGAACCCGGCATAGAAGCTGCGAGCAGCCGTCCGACGAAAAATGTCTCTTCGTTTCGAGTTACTCATGCGTGCGAGATATAGGAGGATCCGAGGTGGCTTTGCTTTTTCCTTCTCAAATTGAACCAATTATATCGAACTGTTTGCCGCCCCGAAACCAGAAGACGACTTTATATTACGTTACTTGTACCGTGTAATTCAGCGGCGCACGCTAAATCCAATGAATTATTGGCCCGCTATAGACCAGATACCGTACTCGGTCCCCATCCGTTGAATAATCCGCCAGTCAAACGTCACGTTCACTTAAATATTTTAAGTGGCATAATAGAATCCCCCGGTGAAAATGCTAACGCCATTATGACGTTACTTTAATCCAATACGTCGCCCTCGCTCGTCGCCTCGATAATATCGGTATTAGTATCCCTTAGTGGCTCTACAATTACAGCCACTCCGCAATTAAAGTCACTTTATTCCGCGTTAATTGATCGGCCACTTAAAATATCCGTTATTTGTCAGAATTACGCACTGTGAATCTGTATTTTCGGCCGACGAGTTAATTGAAGGGTTGACGTTCTCGAGAGAGCTTTCTCTGTAAAACCTCTTCAGGCCTGAGAGAAACTACTTTCGTCGGTATTTTTACTTTCTAATTAATGACTGTTAATACTACGTTTTTAACGACGGTTTTTACTACGTTTGAGGTTGTCTTAAATAATAATGAAACGTGGGGACAAGTGTTATACGTAG